AAATCTACCTTAGTAATTCAAATGTGAGACAACTGGCCATGACCTGCCTCTCTTATGTGTATTTATGAGCTCTCAGGTTTTATAAAAATGTATCACCTGTCAGTGCGCCACTTTATATAAGCTGTGCTTCATTAATTGTAATGCTGTAATGTCAAATAAGTGCCCAAGTTTCTCACTATGTCCAAATAACATGATGTTACTCTGCTATATAGTGTACAGGATTTGCTCACCAGTTTGGCAAGTAGCGCCTGCAGTACAGTATGGAGTATTCCCCAGAGTATCAAATGAGTTTTCACAAGCACTTTCAAGTTCCTTAGCAGTCTCTTGTGTCATTTATGTTTATATGAGGTTAAGATCTGATGGCAAATTATGAGTCTGGTTTCAAGGTGCAGTGAATGAGATTAATGATCGCGTTCCTTTGTTTTCCACTAAGAGATAATGTGCTTACTGCCAGCATTAAGTCATACCCTGAATTGATGAAAAGAGGATGTTACTGTATACTTGCAGCACAACAGTGTGGCGCCACTCTCTGTGGGTTACACTAGTGCAATCTTACTGGTAAAAACACCAGAAGAAACCTATTCCAACAATGATGAGTACTGTAAAAAAAACCTATGCAATATGTGATGGGTTGCGTCTGTAAAATAATGTTCAAAATAAAATTTTATTTTTCATCTTTTTAATGTTGTCATTGTGTTATTATAAAATACTAATATGGCAGATAAGACAAATAAGATAGATGTGGTAGAGATCGCATTCATGTGCTTAAAAATAATATTCCACTCATACTTCTGACTATGTGACTACTTTCTATTCACTATACTTTTCCACAGTTATAATAATTTACAGCTTTATGTAGACATTACTTTGTGTTGGCAGGAATCTTGGTCTTCACTCCAATAATATAAAATAATTTAACAGAAAATTGAGAGAAAAACAAATCAGAAAATAAAATAAGATAAAATTATTTATTTATTTATTGATCCCCCATAGGAGAAATTCAAATTAGGCACAGTAGCATAGGAGAATGTAGTGCAAAAAGTACAGAAGTGTAAAAGTACAGTAAATAATCACAAAATAAGAATAATATAAAATATAACAGAAAATTTTAAGACTATAATAGGAAATATATACTTTATGCAGTAAAATGGTGAGCAAAATATTTTGAGCAAATCACGTGCTTTCTCACCTGATCCTGACAAGCCTTTTGATTGAGAGAAGTTTAAAAAAAACCAGGCGCTCTCTCTCTCTCTCTCACACACACACACACACACACACACACACACACACACACACACACACACACACACACAAAAAAAAAAAAGAGCTCACACTACAAAACGAAGGCTGTCGTCTGACGGATCGACAGCGTTGAGGGAGTCATCTTGAGCCGCACAAGATCTTTGTACTCACCTGGTCGCTAGGATACTTTGCCCTCCTCTAACTGTCCACAGACTCACGCCATTGGCGGATGAGTGATGGGGGAAGTGCTGCTCGTCTGGAAGTTGGTTACCTTCTGCCAGTAAAATAAAGTGTTGAACCCAAGACTGAAAAAGAAAAGACGGCGTTTATACGTGTTTTAAGTAGTTAGCTGCTTCGGGGTGGGAAACTTTATTCCGGTATTTTTTAAAGGGTGTCGAACCGTTCACGTCATGGAGTTTGGCGAAGAGTCGTCGCCCGCTTTGGCTTTCGAGAAGGACGCCTTCGAGCTCACGGTTGAAGATGTGTATGACATTTCGTATGTAATCGGACGAGATCTGTTGAAAATCAGCAGCACGGGCGAAGAAGTGTCGGATTTACAGTTCAGAATAGTCCGTGTTTTGGAGATGTTCGAGACCCTGGTCAACAAGTACAATCTGTCTCTGGAGGAGCTGAAAATGGAGCGGGACAACTTGAAGAGTGAACTGGACCGGATCATCAAGGAGAGCTCCTCTGGGCAGGGCACGGTGAGTGTGACAGTCCGTCTGTCCTTTTGTCGGACGTACAGTGGACATTTAGAGATGCTTTTCTTGTCTTTGTCTGGCCATCAAAGCAAACGGCGGGACCCAACCAGCTGGTGGTGGACCTGACGGACCCCAACAGACCGCGGTTCACCATGCAGGAGCTGAAGGAGGTTCTGCAGGAGAGGAACCAGCTGAAGGCTCAGCTCATGGTGGCTCAGGAGGAGCTCCAGCTGTACAAGAGGTGAGCAACCGGGCCTCTCTGTGATAGGGTTTCTAGAAAGGTTGAACTGCCTCATCATGTGACCTTTTTCCTGAAAGGCCATCACTTTGACACACGGTTGTCTCTGGGCAGTATTTATTTTCACTGTTGAAGCTTTATTTTGAAAACACATAAATATAATCATCACTAAAAAACACATCTGTGCCTGCTGTGCACATCCATATCCACCTACCTCATGTACATACACATCCTTTGCACTCTGCTCCTTTTGTTTTACTGTCTATAAATGTTATTGTTTATGTTTATATATATATATATATCTGTACATTGTAGTTTATTCTAGTCTATGCTATTCTGAGTATGCACATTGAGAATCAAATTCCTTGTATGAGTACACATACCTGGCCAACAAAGGTGATTCTGTTACTGAAAAGTGCCTTATATTAAAATCTGTCAGCAATGTGTTGTCAGGAGGACTTGAGCACTATAATGTAATCCAGTACAACACCATCACTAACTACAGCCTCACGTGGTTAAATCAACACCTCTCGGACACAGCGTCAACAAGATTGCACATTAAAAGCTTCACAGAAGAATGATTCATTGCAGGGCAGTACAATATTTAATTGTTTCGGTGTAGCTAATACATGTTATTACTCAGTGGAAACACCAATGTGAAAATGTTTATCTGAATTGTTTTTGTTGTAAGATGATAAATTAATTCCACGAGAATGAGAGCGGTTGTACTGTTGCGACAACATGTTGGCAACATTGTTAATATTAATACACATCTAACATTACACTAGGGAGGTAACACTGAATATCCAGTGTTATCTGACCCTTATCTGCCATTACTCATACAGAATCATACAGTCTTATAAATACACACAGGACTAACTCATGGTTGTTAACTGGTCTTCAAAAAGAAAGCAGATTTTTCTTATGTTGCTAATTGGACAAATAAACTGCAACAATAATCGGTGCACTTAAAGGTCCAGTGTGCAACAATTAGGAGGATCTATTGGCAAAACTGGAATACAATATTCATAAGTATGTTTATATTAGTGTATAATCACCTGAAAATAAGAATCATTGTGTTTTTGTTACATTTAAATTTGACTTTTTTTATCTACAGAGGAAGCGGGTCCTCTTCTACGTTTCTATAGTAACACAGAACGGACACACCAAACACTGGCTCTTGATAGTGCCTTTTTCAGCTGTGTTGGGGTGTTTTTAGTGTGTTTCGCAGCTACCGCAGTTTCTCCTACAAGCTTACCATGCTGAGCTGTATTCAAATAGTTGGAAAATGCAACTTTAGCACTAGATGACACAGAATCCAACACACTGGTCCTGTAAGCAGATATCACAAGTATCAGCAGCAGAAAGTACCTTTTCCATTAGTCATCTCATGTTTGATAACAATGCATTGTAGTTCTGAAGGAGGGAAAAGATCAATTCATTCTCAAGAATAATTTCAACTCGATAATGTGGATTTTGTTTTCTCAGTGATGATAAAGCTCTTCTCTCTTCTGCAGTGGGATCCTTCCACAGGCCGAACCAGCCATGGTAGAAGTGGATCTGGACAAACCAGCTACAGAGCACAGCCCCGCCACAATAAATGATGTAAAAGAGGAAAAGACAACCATAGGCAAGCTGTGAGTAACAGGATTTCTTCACTGAATACAGCAGTGTATTTTAATGTGCAGACAAACTTAGTTAAAACACGTATTTCTAGCTTCACACTATTTTTAGCTGTACACCTCAGATGGCAAAGTTTCAAGAAAAGAATTCAGCAGCAACCACATGATGTTGAAGTAAGCAAGCAGGGAGATTGTTCTCACAGCCCGTTTCCTGTCTCCTAATGATATACTTGTGACCGAGTGAATTCATGCCGACGTCGAGGATGTTTGTGCGAGCACTGAATGAGAGAAGTTGGAAATCTCCAGTGTGTCTGCCAAACTCTCGCTGCCGTCAGTAATTACAGTCTGCCGTGACTCAATGTTGAATGAGACGCACTGAGCAGTTTCACTAGTATGTTCCACGTTCAACCCACCGCGGCTCAGAACAACAAACTAACTCTGAACCTTTTCTGTTTTATAGGTTTTCATTCAGGCGAAAATAAGAACAACCTTTCACAAGAACTGGACAAACAGGATTTGTCGGCACAATTTTCTCAGTTAACCACTTTTTTTAATTACTTTTTTTTTTTTTTTTTTTTTTACAATGTGTATGTGTCAATCTAACAAGCACTGTGTTTTATACTAGTAATTTTAACCTAAGATGGTTTATAATAATAGTTGCTGTAGTAGAAATATACAGTCTATATTACATGGAAGGTGTGATGAAGATATAAAAAGAAACTGGAAAGTATTATGTAACCACTGTTCTTGGGGATTATGTTGAATCCATTAACTCAGTTATTTATAGGCTTGAAAATTTAATTTTTTAATAAGGCAAAATTAAGTCCTCAAGGGGCCACATGTTGGTCCAGTAACCAGTCCAACTTTAAATAATAAAATGTTTTTCACATTTTGAACAGTATTTGTTTTTCTTCTGGGATTGAATATGTAAAAGCTTCGTTATTATTTCACATTGATGTTACAAGTTCTGACCTCATGTCAGTGTTAACAAATCACAAGAGACAGACTGTCCACAAACTACAGCATCACATAGCACATTACTGTAGTGACATTGTAATGAGGCTTTTGGGTTTAATTATAAAAGTATAATAAACCCTTTAAGTCCTATATCAGAATCTTAATGTATGACTTCTATTTGAGGTATTTTGATTGTATAATACAAGTAGAATTCAACCATTAACCATGCTACAGCTGGAATGAAAACTTAACAGTGTTTTATTCCTCAATTTACAGCACAGGCAATAATTTACAAGAGTGAAATTGAATTGTCAATATATTCATTACAAAAAGGAAACTCTATGGACAATTTGAAACACTTCTTATCCAGTAGAAATATTCTTCAAGCTCGCTTCAATCTGCTACAGTTAGATTTTTTAAAAAATACATAAAAGCGTCATAAAAACTGTTGCAAAAATACACTTCATGAGTTGAAGCTTTAGCCTCCATTTAAAACAAAAACATTTTTATACTTAAAAAAGAAAGGAAAGGGGAAAAAAAGCACCAATTAATCTGAAATATGAACATGTGTGGTCATGGATTCAGTATTTGAGCCAAGGGTGAGCCAAGACTGAGGCTTTACTCCGATCACCGTAGTCGTACAGCAGCTCTTCCTCCGCGTCGATGTCTCGGGAAGCCACCAGGATCAGATGAGGGGTGCCATCGATGGGGTGAAGCCTGGTCTGGCAGTTGCCATTTTTACTGTGGTTGATAAGTCTTCCAAGACGGCTTGTTTCCTTTGTAGCATCCACACTGTAATACATAAACAAATAGAGGTTAAATGGTCACAAATATCCCTACAAGAAGTAGTCCATTAGTCCATTAAATATGAAGACCTTTTTCTTATTTTCAAACCTAATAATAAGGTTTCAAAGTGGTGACATTTGGACTTACCAGTATGTTTTAGTTTGGTACTGGAAGTAGTACATGTAACAGCCTGTTTGGGGATCCTGAGCATACTGGGCCTCCCTTATTTTAGCCTCTGCCAGTTCCAGTAGGTCTCCATGGTACTCCACGACAAACTCTCCCTTCTTGAAACCCTTGACAGCAAATACTCCTCTTCCTTTTCCTTCTATGTGTTTGATCTGTCAACATTCGAAAGCAACAGAGTGTGAAGTGTAACTGAATGAGCAATGGCGCAGGGGTTGCTTTACCACTTAAATTGGAATAGTGATTTCTGTCAAACAAATCACAGTCTGGTTAAATTACAGAGAATAGGTTTAGGAGAAAGGCTGGCATAGCCAGCAAATATTTGTTTGGTAATGTATGTAAATGTGAGCAGTGTAGGTTGTAGACAGTTACAATACACAGGGAAACACATTTGAAGTGGCACAATACATTTAAACCATTAAATTTTACCTGCATTCCTTCTTCAATGTCATTCCTTATCACATCATCAATGTGTCTGTGTTCTTCATTCTGTTGATAGTTTGAGTAATTGGGTCAAAGTCAAAGCTAAAAAATAAGTCTAGAACAAATTAACATTAAATATCTTAACGGCAGATACAAAATGAGAATCTATTAACGTCATAATTCAACCCAGAAGAAGCATTTTTCATACAGACCTTTAACTCTGCTTTTGTTTTTCTGTTACTTCGTCGGATGGGGAAATAGTCAGTGACCTTTCTGTTTTGGGGAGCTTTATTCTCTGCCCTGAAAAGAGACATTATAACGGTAATGAGATTTGATGGTGCACATTTCTGTTGTTTTTAATGACACTGACATGTTGGCCGCACTCACCTTTTTGCTCCGAGTTTGCGACCAGTTCTACTCCGACTCTTGGATGCTGAAACTTTGCCGTCTGCTGCAGACTTGGCATGCGAGTGCATCACAGGCTCTTTTTGTTCAAGTTGTTCAGCAGCTTGTTCTCTCGTCCCATGACAGGGAGCAGCCGTTTCAGGTTTCTGCTCTTTGGATTCATAACTCTCAGATTTTATTTCATTAGGTAGGTCTAAAATTAGGAGGAAACAAAATAATTTAATTGATAGCTGCCCTAAACATTTGGCCTTAATCTAGAGAGTGAAGTTCTTTAAAAAAAACAACAGTTAAGTTGTGTCATAAGATGGTGGGTCAGCGAACACTGCTGCCATTCACATGCACAGGATTTATTTTGTGGTACATGTGGATCTGCCGACCATATGGTAACAAAGGGAGTAACAGCAAAATAGCTGAGAGAGCACATATAATAGACATAACCAAACAACTGCATTTCAGATAAGTCAATTTGAACCGTTTTTAAAAGTTACAGTAATTAGGTACTCACCTGTTTTTAGCTTTGACACGTCAGGATTAGTTGCATCAGATTCATTTCCCTCCTGAATCAACATGCTTGAACTGTCGCTCAGAGGGGATCTAGGTTTGCTTGGACTCCGTACACTCGGGAAGTTTGACTGCGCTTTACCTACGCAGTCCTGCAGAGAGAATTATTTATCTTGGTGAAAAACATCCTGTACATTTTTCCACACACATAAGCAGTTATATACATATTCAGCTGACTAGGGTTCATCAGTCTGCAGTAAATGAGATTGTCATATTTTATGTGTTTAGAACCATGTAGCAGACCTGTATGTCATGTCTTTACTGCTGCTCCCACCCACTAACAACATGCATGTGATGCTCCAAATGGCCAAGTCCAAAGGCAAGTTGCTTGTGTTCAGCGATGCGGATGTGTCATTGTTTTCATTAACAAAAAACAACTGTTAAATCCAACAGAAAACACAGATTGCTTCACCACCCCGCCTACCAAATCCAACTGGGAGTGGTAAACCTCTCCATGGTAACAGTACCATGTAATTTGAGCATGTATTATAATTTCTAATATATTAATAAAACAGGGTGTTCAGATACCCAACCACTGACAGATGTAAAGAAATGTTAAAAAAATATATATTTTTAACTTTTAAAAACAGAGGCAGTGTGTTTTTGTTTTGTTTTTTTGTTTTAAAAAGGAGGCATATATTATAATTTAAAGCATATAGCTTTACACTGTAAATCAGCCTTGTACAATGTGTGCTGCTCATTAAGAGGTTTCTCTAATCTCTAGTAACAATGTAACTATACTATACAACTGTATACATCCCTAACTTATAAGTTTCAGCTCTATTGTATTCTCTAAAGCAATAGCCATGGTGTATATATGGGTGCACCTCTCTACACATAAACCTTTTTATTTGTTACAGTTATTATTGGGTTTAAACTGTCATCATAAACAACACGACGCTTCCTGTAATGTGGTTTAGTTACATTCATCCGTTGCTGAGGCAGCTTTGAGAAAGAGCTACTCGGTTTTCCTGCTTTAGTTTAGTAAACATAAAAGCCTAAAACCAAACAACATAAACATACCTTGTTAGTTGCTGGTTTGTTTTCCTTTGTCTCTTTCCGTGAGCTGACTTTATGTTCAACACTGTCCTCGGTTCTCAGCACATTTTTCTTCCCTTTATAAACATGGGAGGGAAAAAAAACAAAACAAACTGTGCTCTAATTCACCCAAAATTATAAAAAAAAAATAAACAAATAAAAACCCTAAACATACCGGCGACTTTTATTTGTAAACATCTGCTGCGCTTATTTAAAGGTTGCCCTCTATTTACGTTACGCTAGATAGCATTAGCTGTTAGCTCCGTTACACATTAACTCCTGAGGCTTGTGCAACGTGTACTCAACCGACAACACATGAGCGACTTTACCTTTTGCCATGTCAATTCCCGGAATAAAAACCCAAAGAAGACACGGAGTCTAATAAAGTTCCCCCTCTGTAGCCACCGTGTTAAGTTCACTGCCTCTCCAACGACAAAAAAACAACAGACTGTTGTAAGAGCGTGGTGGATTTAAAAACCGTTCCGCGCCGCTCATTGGCTGATTCGTCCACACGGGAGGGGCGCGAGCGTGAAAGGAGTTCTCTCATTGGCCGCAGCTGTGACTGTCAGAAAGCCGGTCATGTGCCTGTAGATGTATTATTATAATGATTATTAATAATAATAAATAAATAAATAAATAAATAAATAAATACAAATAAATAATAAAAATAAAACATCCATGCAGGATTAACTGAATTGAAGAATATAATTATTCTGTTTCAATTATAATTTTCAGCATAGAAAACGAGGTGTTTTTTGGTTTATAAAATATTGAGCAGAAATAAAATTTAAATGTAAAAGCGTGATTCAATCAATAGAAATTTAAATGTCTTGTCACAGATACTTGTTAAAGATATGACATAATATATAAAAATCAATTTACAGCATTGTATCATCAGTTCTTAACCACAAGGTTTTTTCCTATTTATCCTAAGAGAATATCGTGTTTTTCTTATTTTTTATTATTCTTTTGTGCAAGTAGGCATCATTTAGGAACAACTGACACAACCAGTTCAAAACAGCTGTAATAAGTGGACTTGTTTTACTGTTTTCACTATCAACTGAGCTGGCAGGAAATTCTCTTGAGTTTCATTTGTCACATTCAGAATGTAAAGCGAGACCAGAAACAACTTACAGGAAATCAGTGATGGAAAATTATATCATCAAAGGCTGAAATCAAAATGTGGATCCAAGTTACATCTACTGGTAAATGATGCATACTGCAGCGTTTACCTAAAGCATTAAAAAGGATGCACTACACATCACCAAACATTTTTTAAACTATATTTTCTTTTTTTTCTTTTCAAAAACTCCCCCTATGTTTTATATTGTGTGATGTACTATGTATTGCAACTTGGATTTTATACACTTTCCAGTAGCTTTCCAGGTGTTATTCAGATTTTGCAGGCATTAAACACAGGACCATCTCATTAATCATTCATTCTATATCCACATGTTTTAAACAGTGTCATTTCCATGTTTGGAGTCTGCAGCCAGAGCTTCTTTAAAGAGTCTTTTTCTCTCCAGATTATCATTTGCCTTCCTCCTCTTCTCTTGTTTCCTCAGCTCAGAATCTTTCTTCTTTATATTAACTTCACTGAGCTCTCCTTTATATAAAACATCAAGTTTCTCTCTCATAATGTCCCGAGCACGCTTTCGATTTATATCCACAGATCTGGTCTGATGGCACTGCAGAGAAAATAGTAAAAAGAAATTACATTGACATGGAGAGTAAACCACAGAACAAAAACAGATAAAATCCCACTGCAAGGTTCATTTAGTAGATGTTCTGGAGCTTTCGGTCGTCCCCATTTCCATTGTTTTCTTGGGACTGAAAGGAATTTGAACTTTTAAGACAGTCCTTAAAGATTCCCTCCCAGACATGTATAAAGACGTATATACAAACTGCTTGAAACAATAATGTGTGTCTGATTCCAAATTAAAATCCTTAAAAAATATATCTACTCCTTCTACCTCATTTAAATCCCTGGATTGTTCATTTTTAAAGTTTTCCTGCTGGACACAAGATGTCTCCTACTTAACTGCGAAGTCCAAATTCTCAGTGTTTGTACATTGGTGGTTTAAAGTTCCTACATTGCACTTATATAGTGGACTAGGATTGACTTCAAACCAGCTGTAGGAACAAAAAAATAACAGCATCATTTTGACAGGAGGGGGACAAAATGTAGGACATTTCAATGACAACTAGGCAGCTGCGGATGAAGATCATGTAATATGATCAAAAGAATCAGAACAGCTACAACATGAACCTTCAGGTGAGATGGATTAGTCAATAGAGGCTTTCAAAGTCAAGGTTAAAAACAACATAACTCAACATTTTGGTCATTCACGCCCCAAAAATATCTATTACACATGGACACCAGTGATGACAGATTAAACACAGGTTAATTTAAAAACAAACAAGTGAATTAACCTTCACAACAATCCCACTGGGGATGTGTTTGAGAACCACACAGTTGCTGGTTTTGTTGGTGGCCTGTCCTCCGGGTCCAGATCCTCTCACAAACTGCTCCTCAAGCTCGTCCTCCTTCAGGACGTGAAGGTCTATCAGGTCCTTTTTACCGGCTGCCAACACGCACGGCAGTCCGGTCGGAGGAGAAATACTGGGAGTAGCTCTCCATAAGACCCGACTGGACAAACTGGACAAACTGTACACACAGCTGATGGACGGAAAAAGCCGTGACATCTCTTTAAAAGGCACCAGAGCGGGTTTTTAGTGGCGCGCTGAATCAATAAATCTAATAAATAAGTGTCTGATTGGATTACATCATTGTGTATGTCACCAAACAGATAAATATTAATTATTTCTAAACCAAAAAACTTATACTCATGTGAGTTTTAGGCCTAGTTTATCTGTTTCTTCCTGTCTGGTTCACGGTCAGGAAGCGTGTACTCTGTTTACGTTCAGTCTCTTGTTCTTCTACGCTTCCGTTACCAGTCGGCCAATCAGCAGCCGTTGTGTTCTTCTTCGTGGTCAGAATAGCGGGTGTAGATGAAACAGCGCAGGCGCTCTGCCGCCACCTTGTGTCGGCTCGATGAACAGCTCTGCTACTAGGTAAGGTAATGTTTTATAAATGCTGATAGTCGATAATCAGAGTTTGAGTTTTTTCTTTAATGTCTCTTTCTTGTTGATATTTTTAAAAAGGCGTCACTGTTGCGTGAAAGTTGCTCAATAAACAGCGTTTAAATTGAGCAGGAACATGGCGCTCAATGGCGCAAGTCCCCTTGTACAACTTTGTCGAAGTTCGGTTCCTGATTGCTGTGCTTGATAATTAACAAACTATTATCAGGTGTGAAGAAACCTTAACGCCCTCTCCCTAGTGCAGACTGCACCGCACTGTCCTCTGCATACTGCGCTTCACTGTAAATGATTGGGTGTTAATGCGTATGACAAGATATAGTCAACATAAATAACCCTAACCCACATGTCAACCCATATTATGTGTGTGTGTGTGTGTGTGTGTGCCTGCCTCTTAAGAGCTGCACACACTCCGCACCTGAGATGTGGTGTAGGAGGTTATGTGCTCATTTAGTGACACTGATGACTGATAGTGATGCTGCAATGTTTCAGTTTAAAAGCCTTTTTCTTACTGATACTTCAACTATACCACTGAAGCCACGTGACAGTGAGCCAATATTAACCTGAAGCAGCCAAATGAAACCACACCCCTGACACTCAAAATGTACTCTGTGATACTTACAGACTTTCCAGCCACAGGACAATTTCCATTAGATCAACATAGATGTTTATTATGTTGCAGGTTTATAGTTTGAGAAGTCTCTTGGGGTTGTTTTAAAAACTTTTTCTGCCATGCAAACTGATCACAGTTGGCATCAAATACCACTGTGAACCCAGGCTGACTGCAGCCTCCATTATCTGTGAAGTAGAAGAAAAAAAATGTACAGCTGATCTTCAAGTCTACTGGGAGAAAGTGTTTCATAATTAAAGAGAGACATTCTGGATAGAGTAATAATGTGAACCCTCCTTTTCACACTAACAAGAGCATCAGCAAGAGCATGGTGGAATTAAATAATGGATGAATTATTATCACTTCACCTGACACTGCTGTAGGTTGGCTGTTTTAGTTATTCGTCATTCACACCACACGTTACATAACACTGTTTTTACATTAATTTGTTTTACACTGCACAACGCATTGCTGCTGAGTCAAATAAAATAGCTTTAATTTTAGCTTAAATTTTCTGTGATTTGCAGGCGTCCATCAGTGCAAGCAGTGCCAAACACTTGTGTGAGGAGAGCTGTATGTTGTAGTTTCTGAAGAAAAAGGTCCAACATAATGTAATATTGACGCCCATTTAGTGCAATAAATGCAAGTATTAAAAGAATTGTTTTCAATATATATATTTGTTTCCATATGGTGAGAAAAAAACGTACTGTGATGTACTGCCTCCTGCTCTCTCCCTTGGCGACGACTATAATTAGTAAACCAGGAAACTATGTAGGTCACAGGGAAAAGACAATCTCTCTGATGACCCACGATGACATATCTCTGATATTGCAGGTGGGGGGGACGTGTATTTATAATAACTTGAACTTTATCTTTAGTGCGCACATTAAAACTGACCCTCATTCTGGTCCAATATATCCTTGACTGTGTCATTCTTATGCGGATTATGCAGAACGCTCACTCAATAATGTGCAACCTGCAGTATTTGTAAGAAACCAGCTTTCTACATTTTATAATCTATTAGAAATCTCTACAATCTAGACGTCAACAAGTTGAGGTTCACCTGGAAATGGTTGTGTAAGTTAATTCACACTCTGTAACCCCATGTAACAGGATATTATTTCTATCTATCTTAATATCTGTATAATGTATGACACTGCTGTGTGAAGCTGTAGGTTACCGGTAGTGAAATGTATTTCCTAACATTGTGAAGGAAGTGAAACTGCTCAGGAGGCTCACTTTGCTTCATTTGTGATGCAGCGGTAGCCGTTTTTTCCTTTTTTAGCTATAGTCCAGTGGTAAAACAAATATTCAGAATTATTAATGAAGCTATATTACTTTTTCTCTCTCTCTGAGGTTCTGTGCACAGTTTACTAAGGACATGTTTCTTTGCAATGCTTTTTTAAAAAGTTTGTAGATATGATTACATTAAATGTACAGTATCAAAGCAGATGTGCCTAAATACATTGAAAATATTAATTTGAGTAAGCTGCATAACTAGCCAGACTATAACACGCCAGTATGTATGAATGTTACTCAACAGGCATTCACTGTAGCTCTGTAACTTGTCTGCGGAAATTACACCACTCAGTTTAGATCATATAGATATACTACTTGCCAGCAAGGGGCGCGCCAGTATTGAAATGTCGGCGGAACCCGCTGTACGACTCTGAGCTTCGTCAAGTTAACAGAAAGTAAGACAAACTCCGGAAATCAACCAAGTAATCCTTCAGATTAAAATGTGTTTGTGCCGCTGTAGTGTATTTACACGTAAGGTATTAGTGTAATTTGACTAATACTTGCATATGTATGTATCCCTATTATAGTCTTGAATTTAATTGGCTGTAGCATGAGTGCATTATGTATTATATCGTAGCAGCTCACACCTGATAGATTTAGATAAATTGCGTAAGATGGTCGTTTTATATGTCCACGGTATAAAAGACACTTCGGAGATTATATTACAAGTTCACAACTTTCCAAAACACGCCAGTAAGTCAGACTTTTATTTTGAAAACTGTACCGGAAAACGCGGCCGCGCTCTGTGTAACCCGACCAGTATTTTGCGTCGTGCCTTGTGAGGACTGAAGTCTTGCAGCGGTTCAGACTTGAGGAGTGACAACTTAACGATGGCGAGTGCTCTTCATCTGTTCGCTCTTCGCTCTTCCCGGTTCCCTGCACGGAGGCGACGGCAGCAGCCGGTCTGAGCTCACCGCCGTTTTCATTTTTCATCGCCAGGACTGTCAACTCCTGCCCCCCTACCACCACCACCACCACCACCACCCACCGCCTTTGGGTAGCCTGGATATATTCAAGGACATTTTAACGTTACCATAGCTACTTTGGCCCAAAACCCGACGTGCGGGACTCCGCTGCTGCGATGTGGCCAGATTTTGTAAACACGGGCAGAAACGGTGGTTGACTGCCGTGTACGTTAACACACACCGAGCTGATGATGTTACTCTACCCGACCTCTCTACACGTCGTACCCGCACCCCTTCCTCCTCCGCTGAGGGGCCAAACAAACAACGGCGACGTAAAGGAAATCTGTTGCTGACTTTTCGATGCGTTCGCCTCAACCATGGCATCGTTTCCAGACCTCATCGAGTCGTGCTGAACACAAAAACTCCGTGGTTGACCACCCTTTTTTATTTTTAAATTCACGGTGTGTCTGTCTGTGTGTGAGTGAGTGAGTGAGTGAGAGAGTGAGAGAGAGAGGCCGATGAACTTTGATTTTTGCTGGAGTGCCGGAGTGTGGTGAAAGCCAGAGGTGCATCAGGTCCAGGTATGTGATCAGCATCGCAAGCCATCAATTTGTCATTACCGTGCTGCCATGTTGCTAGGTAACTAACTGACGGTGGGTTTACTCCAGTTCACATTTGATCACCCCCCCTCCCCCCCCCGCCAGGGATCGCAACGTCACATTTAGTAAATCTTATATTTACAAGGTTTTTTTTGCTGTCATAACATGCACTTACATTTGTTTAGACTAACTTTGGCGTCCTCCTCCTTTTTGGCCTTAAGAAGTGCAGCATATTTGTTCCACTCTCATGCCCGTGGCCCTGCTGCTGTCACACAGGCATGCTTGTTAAGGCTGATGAAAATGTTCTTCCCTCTGCCCTGACTGTAAGCTGTTCTCATGCACTACATCTAATACCATATTTAAATACATATTACCGGAATCACTTTGTGTTCTTGCTCTTTTTTTTTTTTTGTTTTTGTTTTGTTGGAGCACTCGGCTGTGACCCAGCTGCAAGGGACAGCATGTTTGACTAACCACATCACATGGAAATGAAGCAGCCCACATTTTACTTGGGTTGCAGTCAGCTTGTATAAACCTGCTGTCCAAACGCTTGTGGTTGTACCCCCTAGGCCCATTTCTATTTCAATATGACTTTATGAGTCCCAGCATCAAGAGTCACTCCACTTGACTCAGCAGGGCTCGGGTGAGTCACTGAGGCAGTGCTGACTCGGAGGCTGTGGCGTCTGTTGTCCAGATGATGGCTCTGCTATGAGGGTAAGAGCTCCTACATGGCCACTCCACTATGACCCCCTGCTTTGTTTCCAACATGGAAGCATGTCTTTGAATTAGGATGGCAGTCTGAGACCGGTTTTTTGATATTTATCTGTGCTCCTGCTTAGAAGCTCCAGCCTTATAAGAACAAGATCTAGCCTGCACTTGGAGAATGTTGGTAGAGAAAGAAGTAGAGGAGACACATACCAAGAGAGGTTATTGGGTTGTTTCTGGGCCTAAAGAATATTGTACTGATACGCACACAGGGTGTAATCTCTTTGACATGTTGAAACTTGCGTCCTGTCTCCTTGAACAGTTGTGAGAGTTGTGTAACTCAACATCAGCTGCTCAGTGATCGTAACGATTTCATTGGCCTGAGTGTTTTTGAGTGTTGAAGTTCACTGCAAGTGCAGTTTGCAAAAAATAGATTTTGTGCATTCCTGAGCTAAATTATAAGCAATCTGTGTGTTTTTTTTTTTTTACATATACACAGACTGTTCTCTTCTGAGTCACTTTTAGTATTGACTCGAAGAAGAGGCTCATTAACTCAGCTTCCTCATTTTTGATCTGAGACATGCATAGCTGCTTTTGCGACGACAACCACACAAAAACTCTGACTGCCAGGATATTTTCCCATGGCATTCATTTGTGTCACGAGGAACTACATCATAAACACATTCCTGTTGATGTGGTTGCCTTTTCTTGAGTCACTGAAGTGCTGCTCTGATGATTAAGGGCAG